GGAGCGCGAGGGGGAATAAAATTCCATTGTGTTCCATTGGTCGCGAGATACTCTGCCAGTTCAGGTTTAAATTTAGTTTTTTCTTCGTTGAACAGACACAGTAACTCTCGAGCAGCGCCCACAAAATTGGTACCGTTATCGCTGTATAACTCAGCACACCTACCTCGTCTTGCGACAAACCTTTTAAAAGCGGCTATAAACCCTTGGGTAGACAGCTCGCTCACCACTTCAAGATGTACGGCTCTGGTCGACATGCAAATGAACAGAGCAATATATCCCTTGTAAGACTTGTTACCCCTACCTTTCGACATTCTTACATTAATAGGCCCTGCGTAATCGACTCCGCTGACAAGAAAGGGCTTATTCGGTGTCACACGCGCGGAAGGTAGCTGCCCCATGAGTTGAGATGTGGACCTGCTCGAGTAACGCGTACAAGTGACACAGCCACGATAATATTTCTTAATTAGAGACTTTGCACCCACAATCCAATACTTCGATCTCAAATAGGTAATCATGAGTTGCGGGCCTCCGTGCAGAGTTTTTTGGTGAGCATCAGCAATTAAGAGTCCGCTTAAGCAAGATTCTTTAGGTATGAGAATCGGATGTTTCTCGTTAAATGACAGCGAAGACATTTCCAGCCGACCACCTACTCTAATTACACCTTCCGAATCTAAAAATATATTTAATGTCTTTAACCTTTTCTTTTTCTTATCTATTTTGCCGTGTTTTCGCAATTCTTCCAACTCCTTCCGGAATCCTTCTTCTTGACATTTTTTAATACAGACCTTTATCGAATCCTCAATTTCCTGTCGTTCCAATACTTCTGAACTTGGCCTACTACTCAAACCTTTCCTTATCCTTAACCAACGTCGACAATAAGCTACCACCCGAACAAGCTTCGAGAATGAAGAAAACCTTTGCCACAAGGTTGTGTTAACGACCGCTGTATGAACGTTAACCTGCTCAAGATTTGTAACCAGGTGTTTTGGTTTTTTACAAATAATTACCTTATTTTTTAGAAACGCTGGCCCTTCAAACCATGTAACCATTTCTGATAGTTCCACCGGAGAAATACCTCGTGATGCAACATCCGCCGGATTCTTTTTAGTGGCTACATGGGACCAGTGATGTGTATCCAAAATCTGTAGGATTTCAGAAACTCGGTTAGCCACGAAGGTCTTCCACCGGCTTGGGTGATTATTAAGCCATGCTAAAACTACCTCACTGTCAGTGAATGCATATAACTGACCCCTTTCAACTTTCATAACTTCAGCTACCTCAACCATCAACTTAGCCAAAAGTACGGCCCCACAAAGCTCAAGTCTAGGGATAGACACCTGCTTTATGGGAGCTACTTTTGTTTTAGCTGTAACTAACGAAACGTAAATATTTCCCACTTCATCTACCACTCGCAGATACACGACAGCTGCATAAGCGACCTTCGAAGCGTCGGAAAATCCGTACAACTCGCGCTGATATTTATTACAAGTGTGTATCCAACGTGGAATTTTAATATTCTGTAAGGCAGTTAAATTTTTACGGTAAGTAATCCATTCCTTTATTAAATTAGTAGGAACTTGCTCATCCCACCCAATACCAGCTAACCAAAGCTTTTGTATGAGTATTTTTGCTGCTATAATGCAAGGAGCTAACCATCCGAGCGGGTCAAATAATCGAGATATATCAGATATAATTCTCCTTTTTGTTACAGGTTCCTCTTGCGGTGCAAGATCTACAGAGTACCGGAAGAAGTCACCACGCGGATCCCAGGTAAGTCCTAAAATCTTAGTTGTATCATCTACCTTAATCCTTAATTCCTCATCCTTATTACCCTTTGCTTTCCATATTTTAGCTAATATTTCTTTAGAATTGCTTTTCCATTTTTGCAACGGAAACCCTCCTTTCGCTAACACTTCGGTTAACTCTTTATATATTTTATAAGCATCTTCTAGGTTTTCCGCCCCAGTCATCACATCATCCATGTAAAAATCATTCAAAATAATTTTAGCAATTTCTGGCTTATTCTGACACTCCTTATAGGCTAATTCTTGCAGTGACCGCACAGCTAAATAGGGAGCACATGCGGTGCCAAAGGTTACGGTAAGTAATTCAAACTCTTGAAGCTCCTCTCCAGGACTGTCTCTCCAAAGAATCCTCTGAAATGGAGTGTCTTCCCGATTTACCAGCACTTGGCGGTACATTTTCACCACATCCGCCACCAAACATATTTTATATTGTCTCCAGCGCATAATTGTATGACGTAGTTCGGCTTGCAGTGGCGGCCCAATCAATAAATCATCATTTAATGACTTCCCATTGCTTCCCTTACAGGAGGCATCAAACACTACTCGGACTTTAGTAGTATCCTTATCTTCCCGGACTACTGCGTGGTGTGGTAAGTAAATAGCTGTTTTCTTAAATTTATCATTATCTGTAACTTTTACCATATGATTTAAGTTTAAATACTCCTTTATAACTTGTGTGTAATCCTCTTTTAACTTGATGTTCTTTTGCAATTTAAATTCTAAATTTCTAAATCTTTTTTCAGCTATTTTCCTGAACTCACCACGCATGCAGTCCGGGTTGGCCATACGAAACGGCAGTCTTACGATGAACCGACCGTCTTCATCCCGTATCGTAGTATCCTTAAATAATTTCTCACATTTATTTTCATCGTCTGTGAGCATTTTTTTTGTTACAGGTGGTTCAGCTTCGAGTTCCCAAAACCTCTTCAGCATGTTGTCCACTTCTAGATACGAATGCATCACAATTGTGTGAGAATGGATATTTGACGTGCTATCTACCTCACAGACACCAGATATTATCCAACCGAAAGCAGAATCCTGCGCCAAGAGAGATCCGTTGAGGTTTCTTTTAATGCCATCCTGAATGATTTGACTGTATATCTCCGCGCCTAATAAGATATCAATCTTATTAGGCGTATGATACTCAGGGTCAGCTAGATCACCCAGAGTCAGGTCTTCCCATTTTACCCTAGTTGCCTTCGCAACTGGGAGAAGAGACGTAACTGACTTCAAGACATGTGCATTAACCTTAACTTGAAACCTAGGATCAACTCTCGACCTTAAATTAATTTTGACTGTGAACTTGGAAGTCACACTTTTATCTCCACCTACACCAACTACGGTATTTTGGACCGCAAGCCTTTTTAAACCTAAGTGCTGCACCATGGCCTCGGTAATAAAAGAACCTTGCGACCCCTGATCTAATAAAACCCTAACTGGGAAATAAGTACCGTCTTTCGACTCAGCTTGCACCACAGCTGTAGTTAATAAAACCATTTTAGAACAGTTTCCTGTCGAAAAACAAGACACAAGTTGCTTATCTAAACTTTCTGCTTGCACAGATAACTTATTACTGCTTGCGGCAGTATCTTCCTCAGTTGACCTTAAACTGGTCGAGGAGGTTGTTTGATGAATCGCCTCAACTTTAGCACTACCAGAACCAGAATCACCACTGGGATGTAATAAAGAATGATGTCTACGTTTACACACTTGGCACCGGACAATATTTTTACACATTTTAGCGGAATGGTTGCTATTTAAACAAATAAAACATAAGTTTTTATCTAACGCGAACTCACGGCGTTTCTCATTACTTTCTTTTCCGAATTTTTTGCACGCAGTTATTTTATGATCCGCACTGCAATACGCACACGATACAATCGGTTTGTTTTTAACGACATGAAAAGATTTAGTAACTTTTTTCTCACTGTGATGTACCTTAGAATCGATATTTTCTAGACCTCTAAAACGCCCTATTAAAAAGTTCGAAAATTGTTGAAACGTGGGTAATTCGTCACTTGGATCTGAAGATACTTTTAACTCCCATGCCTTTCGCGTATCTTTATCTAATTTAGCGCTTATAATGTGGATAATCAGTATATCCCAAGATGAAACATCCACACCAATATTTTTTATTGAGTCTAAACAATCTGAAGTTGTACTAATTAAGTTTTTAATTTCAGATGCGGATTCAGACAACAAACTTTTTTGACTTAGTAGACGCTTCAAGATGCCGTTCGCCAAAAACCTTTTATTATTGTACATACTATCTAATTTCTCCCACGCAACTTGATAACTATCCGACGTCACCTTAATGTTGCGCAATAGTTGCTCGGCTTCCCCGGTTAAATGTCCCCTTAAATAATAAAATCTTTGGGCATCATCCAGTGACTTGTTTTGATGCACAAGTCCTAAAAACAAATCTCTGAATGTCTGCCACTCTGCGTACTTACCGGAAAAGGTAGGTATTTTTATTTCAGGCAACTTGAAACGTCTTTCTGAACTCTCACATTGACTATTTGAACTTGACTTTACTTCTGACTCAAGTGTTTTTAATTTATACAGCATTTCTTTTAACTCAGTCTTGAATTGAACATATAATTCTTCGACATCATCATACACACTATTTTTGTGATAATCCGAACTATACAAATCAGCTCGCTTAACCTGACTAATAATTTTAGTATGAGTGTCTGTAAACAAAGTCCACTGTTGTTCCAAGTTATCTAGCCTTGTTTCAATATAAGCAACCGTCAAACGATCCTTAGGACACTTTTTAAAATTAGTCTTAGCTTTTAGCATTTTAGCCCTTATGTCTTCCTGCAGATCATTAAACGACTCCATTTTAAATTTTTTACCTTAACAGTTTTAATCACTTAGGTATAATTCTTATGAATATAAAACAGAATAACAATTTACTTTAATTGACAAAGTTAAACTCTAAACAACTGACTCATTTTTCTAAGTCCAAGAAACAGATAAACAAAATTTTACAAGTCTTTTTAACTTTAAATTCTAACTAACATCGGGCGTGGATTCGCCGTCTCAACCAATATTTACTTAAAACTATTACAAGTCTTAAACTATTGAAATTATTCTTAGTACTTCACTATCTTCAATTTTTCTTTAAGTTCCACTAATCTTTGAAATAAGGTTTAATTTTCAAGTTAATTTCTTCTATTATAATATTTAAAAATGTACTCACAATTTATCACCGCACTCACTTGTCTTCGCTTTAATGCACCTGTAGCGCCTTCTAGCGCTCCGCAACCTCCACCGCTGCTGCTTGCCACTTCTCGCCCGTCGCTCCTCCGGGTTGTAGACACCCGGCTCCTCCACTGCCTTGGCGCCGCTCGTGGCGCCTCGCTGGGGGGATGTTCTGGACAGCGATCCACTGCCAGTAGTGACGACACGGTGGTACTACTGTACCACTGACGCGGCAAATAACACAAAAACACGCCTTGCCGATCCGGCTCGAAGGACCATGAACAAAAGTCCTGCAGGCTCTTATGCACGAAATAAAACACTTAGTAAAGTTTAAGTATCTATTTCAAACGATTCACACAAAAAAAATAATGTTTCAATAACTTATACTTTACAGACTAACCAAACCATAGCGCGATTCAGAAAGTGGCATAAACCTAACAACGCCATCTAGGCGCCACCGAAGAACTAAAAATAATAAACTTATCTAATATACTTAAGGTTTATTGGTGTGTAAGTTTAATCCGGACACTCCTCCTTTTTGAAGTCGGTTGAAAAATTGGAACTAATAAGTTTCAAGGAAAGATCCTTAATGAAACTCTGTTAAAAACAAAAGTTTGTCTATAACTTAACAAACAGCAATATTTAATTCAAAAAATAGTAGAAACATATTATATATTATATTTGAAGCCCTTTATTATGGACTAAATACAACTTTACCTCAGACAATTTAATCTCACGCGAGTACGGTCACCCATCGGGTTCCTTTTGCTGGTGCTGAAATCTCCTTTAGTATAACACGTCGGACTTGGTCCGCTCCGGACAGCTTGTGTATCGTATGGCGCTAAACTGTAACGTTATTGCACCAATAAAAACTTTTTAAAAAGTTTTTAAATTTTTATTTTCCATTTTTAGTGTAGACGTAATAAGCAGATTTGTAAGAAAAAAAGATTTTTAAAAACATATTCGATTAAGCCATTTATTCAGACCCCTAATGACAGTCACAACCCATCTAGGTGTAAAGTTCTCATCAATACAAATTAATCAAGCCTAAACACCAGGTAATTGCTGTAAACCGTTGAGGAGTTCCCTCGACTTTCTTTCGGCTCCATCATCAGATCGACTCCAGACCTTCATTAAATAGTAGTGCTTTAAGATACTTAATAAAAAAAATTAACAAACGCACTAGTCGTCACTATGATTTTCGAAGGTTCCCCTCGATTTCTCTGGGATGCAATCATCAAATCCTGGTTTCCTTATCATGGCACTACCCTTGGGATATCCCCTTTAAAAAAAAAAGAATAATCAAAATCGGTTCATAAAGGACGAAGTTATCCGCGAACATATAAAAAATATATATACGGTCGAATTGAGAAGATCCTCCTTTTTGAAGAAGTCGGTTGAAAATAATCATTAAAGACACGTATGAAGAGATCTATCGAAATTACTAGAAAGGGTTCGAATTTTATTTTCATTACATCATTAAACAACATTAATACTAAGTTTCAAGTAATTCTGTTCATAAATATTTTTTTGAGTTGTATTATAAAGTGTTTTCCCGTGGGAATTAGATAATATCCCGCATAATATTCCACACAAAAAATCACGCCAATCCGTCACTCCGCTTCGACGTGAAAGAAAGACAAACAAACAAACACACTTTCACATTTATAATATTAGGTATGGATATGGATTCAGACAATAACAACGGTTACTATGACAACCTAATGCACGCGATTACTATGGCAACTGCGACGGCTTTTCGTCACAGTTGACCTTGAAATTTTACTCTCATGCGCTCAAAGAAGTTTCACTTCAAAAAACTTTATATGTTGCCTCCAAACATGAGAACATACAATCTCGTGTTGTCGTTTGTTGTGGCGTCACAAGTTATCAGAGTAGAGAACAATAACTTATCTATGTGGATTTTTAAGACGGGACAGTAAGGGCAGGTACCGTAACTGCTATAGTTACAGGAAAACGTTCCTAGGAGACCATCCATAACTTTTTGAGATATTTTAAATTGCATTCACAGATTTTGCAAAAAATGTACAGTTCGCGAAAAAAATGCTAAAATATGAAAAAAATATTATATCAATCGATCTATATATTTACCGGATACACAAGACCGGACTTACACGCAGGCTTTTTATGCAACGGGCATAAGATAAATTTTTCATTTTTTGTCAAGCCGGTCTCGTGGCGTACCTAGAAGCAAAAGTACTTACTTAAGTAGAGTAGACAAATACCAAAATAATACTTTCTTAGATTTACGCGAATGTTTGACATTATTAAATAAAACTATCTTTTCGGATTATTTCGCGGATTTATTTTGATTTTTGGTTCCCGACGTTTCGAATGCTTTACAGCATCCATGGTCACGGGAGAGACCAGTATATAAGTGTATAATCTATGGGAGAGACTGAGGTGTTACATGTCTTAAAGATATAGTTGTTACAGACAGCCTACCCACAATTAACAAAATGAAAATTGCACCAATTACATTACAATATTTTTAACTTTAAACATTTTTTATAATTTTAATTATAATTGAATATGGAAAATTATTTATTTAATTTTTGTTATTATTTTTATAATTATTACAATTTTAAAAATATTAATTAGTAATCTATATTTAGTGTTGCCATTATTATATTTATAACCATAAATAAAAATATAAAAATATAGTATTAATTATTAAAGCCATATAATTGTTCTATGTGTAATTTAAAAAGTTAAAATTAATTACGGATAATCATTTTAATTTAGTTTGCTATTATTTAAAAACAACTTACTAAGCAACACTATTAAAATATATCAGATTAATATTTTTCATTTGTAAAAGTATATTTTAATAGTGTTGCTTAGTAAGTTGTTTTTAAATAATAGCAAACTAAATTAAAATGATTATCCGTAATTAATTTTAACTTTTTAAATTACACATAGAACAATTATATGGCTTTAATAATTAATACTATATTTTTATATTTTTATTTATGGTTATAAATATAATAATGGCAACACTAAATATAGATTACTAATTAATATTTTTAAAATTGTAATAATTATAAAAATAATAACAAAAATTAAATAAATAATTTTCCATATTCAATTATAATTAAAATTATAAAAAATGTTTAAAGTTAAAAATATTGTAATGTAATTGGTGCAATTTTCATTTTGTTAATTGTGGGTAGGCTGTCTGTAACAACTATATCTTTAAGACATGTAACACCTCAGTCTCTCCCGTGACCATGGATGCTGTAAAGCATTCGAAACGTCGGGAACCAAAAATCAAAATAAATCCGCGAAATAATCCGAAAAGATAGTTTTATTTAATAAATACCAAAATGTTTAAATGTTTAATAAGCATACTCCGTGGCGTTTGTAAATATATAGAGAGAATATAGCGGAAGCGAAATGATTGTAATCTATACATATAATAAAATTGTATCTAACCGAATCTGTACATTAAATATTTTTTTGGAAAATCTTATTGAAATATACATTATTATCGATACAGAGGCCGAATCTATAGTTTTTAGAATTTTAGTCTGTCTATCTGTCTGTCTGTCTGTCTGTTACCGCATCACAGAAAAACCACTGGAGGGATTTTGATGAAATTTGGTATGGTGATAGCTGGTTATCCGGGTCAACATATAGGATACTTTTTACCGGGTAAAAATGTCTCATTTCTGAGAAAAAATACAAAAACTGCAATGTAAGAGTATACTAATATGTAAAACCTAAGAATTTTGTTTTTGGTCATTTGAACGCGGGCGGAGCCGCGAGCAATGCTAACTAGCATTTAAATAAATGCAACACAAATAAAAAAATGGAAATGGGTATAATTGAAAAGTATCTTATATTATTAAAAACATATGAAACATACCTATTTCGTAATCAAAAAAAATCTGCTGTAAGGCAAAACATAATGTAGACATAGCCTTATTTTAACGATAAACATCCAAGACCAACCACAGATAACAAAGATGTTTAACATGACATTTCTCATGTGGTGCTGTCATTTTTGTCAAATAATAAAAATAAAGTGATGTAGGTTGGTCAGTTTTACAAATTACAATTTACATTAGTTTTTAATGCGTGTTTTCATTTTTTTTATTAATTGAATAATAATAAACCATCTTTTTGCTATATATTTTTATAACAGCTCCTAATGATTATACTTTTTCACGAAACTAGGTGGGTATGATGAACCCGGCTCAAGATGGTCTAGCTCCTCCAGGTGGGGCACCGTCGTACCAACAACCTTTATACCTTCAAGAACCACATACGCCTGTCACATCACATAGGTATTTCGTGTTTCTTTTTATCTCATTAAATCAAACATGTTTATACTTTTGCTATAATACATTTTATAACATTATTTTTAGTAACGCTGCTGCTCCAGCTGGTAATTACATGATACAGCAACAGCCTGGAGGTCAACAACAGCTGTTAATGTTACAGCCAACACAAGTCATGAGTGGCCCGCCTACACCTAACACTCCTACACAACCTGGGCCTGTATATGGTTCACCACAGAGAGCTTCACCACCAGGCACCACAAGTGATGACTCGGATGATAGTGTTCCTTCCCATCATTCCCAGGTAAAATACATATCAATAACATTATCATTTGTAAAAATAATGTGTACCTATCAGATTACATTATTTGATATGTGGCTCCCTTACTTTATATCTTATTTGAGGTTCACCCTCGTTTCGTTCGCCTCTAGAAAAACAAAAACAAATGTATCCCTCGGAAACCATATATTTTTCATGATAAAAAGTAGCCTTTGTGTATGTGTATGTCCAGACTATATCTGTGTCAAATTTCATCCAGATCCGTTTGTTCGTTCTAGTATGAAAGAGTAACAAACATTCATACATACTCACAAATTTCCCATTTATAATATTACATATATGCCATTAACCCTACTAATAAGATATAGTAGTTTAAATTTATTTCTAATTATAATTCAATCGCCTTCAAATCGTTTTTGAAACTCATTATAATGAAATTTTATTTATTTTGTACTATTATATTTTGACCCAGCTATCATCATATCAAATTTCATCAAAATCTGTCCAGTGGTTTTCTTGTGATGTCTTCCAAGACAGACAGGCAAATATTCTTAAGACTATTTCAATAAGTTTTTTCAAAAAATATTTAATGTACGGATTCTACACTCGGTTAGCATTTTATTATATGTAAAGACATTGGTTATTTTTTTAACATAAAATACCTCAACATTTGTATGTTTGAATATGTTATGGACATTATTGTCATGTGCAGTTCATTGGCATATACATTTCTTTATAATTTTGTATAACTCAAATGAAATTTACTTTAAAAACTAATAAATCCGTTGTTTGTTGGTAGTTGCCTGGTGATGCAGAAAGCCTTCTGCCTATCCATTATTGCTCAGCGAGCCGGCAGCAACAAACTACGCTTCATCAGGTATAGGCAAATTTTATCACTTTTCAATGTATATTGGTACAAATTTAGAAAATTCTTTGTAGATATGTATTGCCAATGAACTAATTCGAACATAGCATTTGGAAATTATTAACATATGTATTGTTCTGTATAGATTGGTGTGAGTAACATGGGTGTAAAGAGATCCTCACCAGAACCCATAGATAATGGAGTTAATCGTGGTCAAATGCAAAAAAAACCCAAAGTCCAGAAAAAGAAAAAAAAGAGAGATCCTAATGAGCCACAAAAGTAAGTATTATAAATATAAAATCAATACCTAAAACTAAATGAAAACTTTATCAATTTTTATTTTTACAGGCCTGTATCGGCATATGCCTTATTTTTCCGCGATACACAAGCAGCAATTAAAGGTCAAAATCCGAATGCAAGTTTTGGTGAAGTCTCTAAAATAGTGGCCTCAATGTGGGATGGCTTAGATTCTGAACATAAAAGTGTAAGTTAGAAAATACACATTAGAACAATTTATTTCTTTTTATTAAACTATTTATAGTGATAAGTTAAATTGGTTTTTATCAGGTATACAAACAAAAAACTGAAGTGGCAAAAAAAGAATATTTAAAAGCTTTGGCAGCATATCGAGCCAGCTTAGTTTCTAAGGTAAGTTTGTTTTTTTTATAATTTTATTGTTTATGTTAAATATTGATTAGAATAAAACTTATATGATGTCTAATCGAAATCTATTCAGTTTTTTTCAAGTGTTCACAAACATAAAAACAAAATCACGAAATAGAATTGCCAATGTCATGCTTATACCCATTGCCAATTCATTCAATTTTTTTGTTTAGTGGCTTCTATGAGTACCGTATTAGCAGTTTACTTCGCCAATGTCATGTAGAATTGAAAAGATATTGCCAATCATTTCTCATTCACATAATTTTTAATAAAATTATTTTTTATATAGCTTCTGATTTTTATACTGTGGGAACTATTTTTCCCAGGGGTGTGAGATAAACTAATCCAAAGTTAGTGGAAGTTCCATCTAAGTGAATATTTGATACAATCCAATTTCAAATTTGTTTTGAATCCATATGAGTGTATAAGTCTGTATAATATTCAAATTACTATCTCTGTGATTTTTTACTAATTTATTTTTGGGCTATGCTTATTATATTGCCTTGTAAATCTGTGGTAGAAAGCCAACAAGTTTGTTTTCCAGATTATTTTATTAAATTAGGAATCCTTAAAAAAAGTTCATAATTCGATTTTTTTATTTGTATTATTATTTATATTAAATAATAATATTATTATACTTCTAACTCATCAAATTGGTTAATATATTTTAAGGAAATATCCATAGGCACTAAAGCCAAAGCAAGAGATTTTAGACTTTTCTTGTCTGTAGATACATTTTTAAATTACTGCTCTAAAATATTTACATATTTGGTAAAGTAATAAAATACTACTATGTACTTAATCAAAAAAAAATTAAACTTCTAATGAAGTGAAGTTAAAAACCAAAACAATATATGTAAATATTATGCATAATATAAATCCTTTAATAAAGCAATTTTACTTGTTAAATATTTGTCTTGTGAGGACATCAAACTCTCAACCACTTGTGTACCTATTAAATGATGGCTGACTTGAAAGTTATCTCAATAACTTATACATATTAAATTATACAATAAACATCTAACATTTTTATCAAATGTAAAGATGTAAATATTATTTCTTATAAAATAATTTAATTCAAAAAAGTTTTATTATGTGTATTATAGAGCTATAACAATGGGAAAGTTAAAACAAATTAGAAATATCACAATCTTACGATACATTATTTAAAATTTTATAATCGTAATATAATGTTTTTGAATATATACATTATACAAAACCCACATTTTGCTAGACGAAATGCCGTAAAACGGAACGTAAAGGTTTTCTTTTCTGGCAACTCGGAGAACGCTTAATGACAGTCGATCGCTCGTACTTCAGTTCGTTGCATTATAGTTTTAATATCTGTGTTAAATCTATTTAATTTATGTAAAACTTTAAACTAGTGGAATTTATATATGTTTTCAATAAGAAAAATATTTAAAAGAGATCACATAATAAGATTGGAATAACTTAACAAAATTTGTTACTATTGTGATTTAACGTTTGTTCGTATAATCCACGCGTCTTTTCAAACCGGTAAGCTTTCAAGAGCTTTTTCTTCATGTGATATATTTATAATAAAAACTTATGAATAAAAAATGTTTTAAAAATATAAATATATAATTATAATGAATATTACTTAATTTATTTAAAATAATTAAATTGTATTACTGCACTAAATTTAATAAAACAAACAATAAAAAAATAAAAGTCTTTTTGCAATTCTAAAATTAAATTATTTTATGAACATTTTTACTGTAAGCAATAACCATCCAATTTTTTCCCCTAGGGAGGTGAACAAGAAAACCAAGTAATGTATAATCACAATAATTCTAATGCAAACTATGGAAACTACTATCAAGGACAGGCATATGGAAATGGTCATACTCCTCAAGGGTATGCACCAAATTCGACACCACAAGGATACTCACCTCAAAATTTCTCTGGTGGCCAACCTCCTTCCACATATGCTGGACCTCCACCTCAAGGATATCCTCCAAACCCTCAGCAGTCACCTCAAGGCTATCAGGGAAATATGGGACATAACCCACAAACTTATCAAGTGAGTATGATCTGTTTCTCTTATTTATTTTTGTTCGTGTGTGTTGTTTAACATTATTTTAAAACTTTGTATTTAAATCATCAGGGGGTCACAGGTCAATCTCCTCAGGGCTATCAAGTGAATTCAACTAACCCTCCTCAAGCATGCCAACCTAATATGGCTCAGTCTCCTAGAAGTTACCAGCCTGCACAATCTCCCAATTATGCTTCTAACTCTGGGCTATCACCGCCAGGCTACCGGCAAGTTCAGTCACAGTCTCCTCCAGTTCAATCTGTACATGCTGCAATGCAGTATCACCATTCTCAACAGGTAAAAAGTAATAGATTTATATATATTATATCTATTAAGTATATTAAAAAAAAGTAATTTAAAATCAAGATTTTAAATTATTAATAATAAACAGTTACTTATTATTTTTTTGTGTTTTTTCCGACATGCTAGATAAAATGTATGAAAGCTCAGCTGAAACACATGACACACATATAACTTATAGATTTAACCCCCTGGAATAATGTAGATGTCTAATAGTGAAAGAATTATTAAAATGGTTAAGTTTTCTTAGAGTTTATCAATTATCTATTATTATAAATATCATTTTTCATTATATTATTATTACAGATGTATGTAATAATATAATCTATTCATTAGAATGAACATAATATAATCTAAACACCTTTTTGTATGACTTATTAAAATCAAACTTAAATAAACAGCAGATGCAACAAGCTCACCAAGTGCAGCAGTATCAACAACAGCAGCAGCAGCAACACCAACACCAGCCCCCTCAGCAACAGATGCAGCACCAGCCACATCCTCCAATCCAACACCAACAGCCGCCCCAGCAACAGAATCAACAACAATCGCAGCACAATCAACAGCAGCAACAACAATCAGCAGCTCAACAAATACAAAACATCAAATCTGAACAGCAATCCCCTAACAGCAATGCAAACTCTAACTCTGGTATCCCACATCAGTTGCCAGAGGTACATATATTTTACCTTTTGTACAGACAATATCCCATAGAAAACACTCATGTAACAAAATGAAATCTAGCTTATGTCACAGTGACTAACTATACATATATATATAGATGATATTGTAATAAATATAATGTTTTTAATTTATATTGCATGTGTACAATTTATTGTATTTTGTTTAATTTTAGCAAAATGAAAATGGAAGCCCTCCATCTTGTATTCGCCAAGGCTGTACAAATCCAGCTATATCAAATAGTGAATGGGAAGACGAATATTGTTCAAATGAGTGTGTTGTCAGTCATTGCAGGTAAAGACTAGAAAAATTTTACATTCTGTGAAATGATTTGCAATATTATATACATATACAGTTATAATAACTTAGTTTGTTCATATGTTTTGAAATAACAAATATTTATTTTTCAGGGATGTCTTCAGCTCATGGGTAGCATCAAACACAAATAATCAAATTCAAAATTTTTCTGCAGTAAAGTAAAAGACATATCGAGACCTACAATCTAAGCTGTGAATAATAATTGAAAATTATTGATATGATATTTTGCCTTGTTACAGTTATTTATTAACTTGTTATGAATATGTGCCACAACCAGAATGGTTTTATCATGTTTGAATAAATGCATGACGTTTTCAACATGTAACATTTAATTTTTAAAATTTGGAGTGCCTTGACAAAAACATTTTTTGAAAATCTTTTATTTGATATTTCAAATGATCTTGACATTTAGAATTAATATTTTTACAGACAGTAAATTCTTGCTTAGCCAATATATATAAATAGTTTTACCTCGTGGTATAATGCAATAAGCAGGTATTACTACATATTATTTGGGATTCTAAAAATGAGTAAAATATGAAATAATGCAAATAAGCATTACTTGCTTGTATATTATCACCTCCAGGTAAATTTCTAAGAAATCTATTGTTAACTGTAACGCCGGCGTGTCCGTGGTCGTTGAGGGATTATTCTTATTATGTATACTCAATAAACCTATGAGCTATTGAACTTTCTTGTATACGTGTGTACATTTTATTAATGGAAAGAACATTGAAAATCGACTTAACTTCATCCCTATATGAAAGCAATAAATATTTTTATGAATACTGGTAATAAAAATTCAAACAAGTAATTGATATTAATATTAAAATAATGGTTATGAGCATCCATTGGTTAATATTTAACTACGTTTCGCCTTAAATATTTTTGAAGACGTTAGTTTTTAAATTAGTATTGTAAGTTCAAAAATTTAAACGCGATAAGTCGAATTGTTTAAACAATTTCCACTAAGATCTTATAAAAACGCAATTTAATATGAAGCGTGATTAAATTAAATTGATTAGGACATGACGATCACAAATTTAAAATTATAGAATACTAGCGGCTCACCCTCGCTTCGCTCGGGTTCGTCGCTAGGTACGTTTTAAATAGATATAAAAAGAAAAAATCTTTCTTTCTCACATTTTAATTATATGTTTTAATACTTACCTATTCCGGACTAAGAGAAATCCAAAAATTAAAATATCATAAAAATTGGAACGCGGTCGAACGGGATAAAAAGTATCCTATGTCCTTCTCCTGGCTCTAAACTACCTCCCTGCCAATTTTCAGCTAAATCGGTTCAGCCGTTCTTGAGTTATAAGCGAAGTAACTAACACGACTTTCTTTTATATATATAGATTTAGGTATCCAAGAAAATGACGTATTACCTAATTATACTTCAATAATTTAATCCTATGTTAAATAATGTATTCTTGATAGCAATATCTATTATTCCTCTAGAAGTTGTGCTTAGCATAGGATATAGCTGGACCAAAATTTCCTTTATATTCAAAACAATGATACTAGTTTAAAATATGTATTACTTGTTTTTAATGTATATTCAATAAGTTAAATTGTAAATAAATACTTGCAATAATAGAAATAGTGGTAGATAAGGAGAAATATCTCAAAATTCAATTTTATGTAATTTATAGTTAATCCTTTTAGATTACTTAATTCCTAAAGCAAAGTATCCTTATGTATTGTAAAATAATTGTGTATAAAATGTAACTAGAACAATTATTTCATTAAATTTCTTAAGCAGTGATATTTTTTATTTATATTGAACCCTTTTGAGATATTATGACGTTGTTTACAGATATTATTAGTTACTTACACTCGCTTCACTCGGGTGTTCGAGGTGCTAACCTCATGGCCATCACAGTCTCGCCCTAGATGCCTAAAAGTAGTGTGAATTGATGTATTAAAACTGCACCAACGTTTATAATTCTTACGGATTACTTTGTATTTATCGTTATTTATTCAACACGCCGCCAACCCGCACTTGGCCAGCGTGGTGGACTATGGCCTGATTCCCCTCGTATTTAAAGGAGGCCCGTGCCCAGCAGTGGGACGTTAAAAAGGGCTGAATACATATAACAAGGTTCGCCTAATTTCAGGCTCTTACCCCCGTTATTAAGGGAATAATGGGGATGACAACCCTTAACGTAACATTTATTTTTTTCGAAACTACTAGTTTTCTTAATGAAGTTGATACTAGTTAATAAAATCGTCAAAGTCATCCTTGATTCCTTACGTAATTAATGAATGGCCCCTTCTCGTGTAACAAATATCCAAACATCTAAACTTTCACATTTATAATATTAAGTAAGATTCAAGAGAATAATATTATTATCTAATATATTTAAACAAGCTTATATTCAGTACATTTATAATCGTCAGTGAGTTACATAATTTATAATCATAATTTTCAGTATTACAAACAATTCGTGACTAGCCACTACATAGTGGCATATGTATATAGATAGATGAACAAGCTGTGGCTTCAGACTTCCAAATAAAAATTCGGGGCATAATGTACCTACATAATATGTGATTGCATGGAGAGCTTTTGGTGCAAAAATTAGGTATAAATGCGATTACAATTAAATAGGTATCTTAAAGAGACTTTTGTTCTACATACTTAATTAGTTATATAGGCGCCTATAAAATAACACGTTTAACATATTATATGCCATTTATACATGTAGCAATGTACTACCGAGTACCGACTACCGACATCTCTGTGCAAAAGCGCGGGAAAACAAATAAATATTCGCGCCCTTTTTTATTTTTTTTAAAACACATTCCTATCGGCCAAGGTCACATAAGTAAATGCCTTATACATAAATCATTACAATTAATCAAATATATTTTATATTAAAACACTCAATATATAAAAATGCAACCTTACAATATATATATATATATATACTAGCATTGCCCGCGTTCAGATGACCAAAAGTCAAATTCTTAGATTTTACATATTAGTATACTCATACATTGCAGTTTTTGCATTTTTTTCTCAGAAATGAGACATTTTCCCGCGGTAAAAAGTATCCTATATTGTTGACCCGGATAACCAGCTATCACCATACCAAATTTCATCAAAATCCCTCCAGTGGTTTTCCGTGATGCGGTAACAGACAGACAGACAAAAATTCTAAAAACTATAGATTTGGCCTCTGTATCGATAATAATAGTTACAATTTTATTTTTAAACGGCTCCAACGATTTTCATGAACTGTAGTATAGGCACAGGCGGTTTCAAGGGCGAAAAGTCAATCTAGATTAGTCTTACGTCTGAGACAACGCGTGTTTTTGAATGTTCATTTAGTTTTCTTTTGCATTATTCCACGCAAAATATGGATACAAAGTTTTTACTTTTGTTTTTTTTTTGTATTTATTCAAATTTTTAGTTAGTTTTTTTTTAATGTTTTTCCGGCCAAAAACTCCGAGCGAAGCTCGGTGGTCCAGGTACTATACATAATATACAATTCTTCTGTACGTGTGTATGTATGTCACTGAAATCCTAAATGAAAACCAAGCGCTAGGTGGCGCTGCAATCGGGTTCTAGGATTTTAGGTGAAAACTATGGTGAATACAGAATATGGTGTATTTATTCGGGTAGCACAACGCCTGTCGGATCCGCTAGTATAGGTAATTATTATGATGATGATGATGATGATGTTCTCCTAGCCGATTCCGGCCACGGCGGCCAATCTCAATGAGATTAGCCAACTGCGCAGGAGATATTATAGTGCTCAAGTGTACGCGCAGACACAAGTGCACTCTCTATTCCTATCACTCTCATACTCCGGTGGGACGACCACTCGACACGACCGGTGAGAGTTAAGGCGCAGGACCGACGGCTTTACGTGCTCTCCGAGGCACGGGGGTGAAACACCGCCAACTTCCCAACTCCGGGCTGTTACTGAGACTTACTATACAGGAAGACTCAATAACTAAACTTGGCCCGACCCGGGACTCGAACCCAGGACCTCCGGGTGTGTAGCCGTACATGCTAGCCACTACACCACCGAGGCAGTTTACGCCACCGAGGTAATTATTATAATATGTATACTATATACTAGCGACTCACCCTCGCTTCACTCGGGTTGGTCCCTAGGTACGGTTTAACGGTTAAAATGGAATAGTTAAACTATACATAGGTATGATTATTGATGAGTTTTAAATCCCTTACTTGAGAAATAATTGATTCCCCATACAAACTTCCACTCTCCTTTTCACTCCCGTAAGTGATGATTTCCGGGGTAAAACTTATCCTATGTTCTTCCCAGAGTCTCAAACCAATCTCTCCATACCAATTTTCATCTAAATCGATTTAGTCATTTAGTCGGGAAAAGGTTACAAACAAAAAAACAGAGTTACTTTCGCATTTATAAATATTAGTATGGATAAATTTAGAAACAGCTCAATCACCATCAATATTTTCTTCAACAGTTGAAGTTATACAAGTTTTATCAAATATGGAGGTTAATATTTCAACTGTTTTTATTATTTTAGATTTATAACAGGCATATAAGACAAGTAGGTACTAGTCGCCATATGTGGACAAGTGTGACAAAAGCTCACGGGTGTTTTTCCATTTGATGGACCTAAAGCTAGCGGCCGACTAGCAGCTTGCCACCTGACGAATTAAACAAAGGGCCGCAACGTTATCGCGGCGTCAAAAACACATGATAATAGAATAAATACGCTACAGATGCAATTAAATATTACTTTTTAATCATTTTAAATACAATAATAGGAATGTATAGTGTTTTATATAATTTAATACCAAATTTTTAAATTCATTAATGTTCGTCTCCGTTCTTAGCGTAAAAGGTCATTTAAGCCATGAAAAACTAGAAAGCATGCTTGAATCTTGCAGATTTTTTTACTGAAGCTTTCTATAATATGTATTTATTCAAAATTATACAAATTTTGCAGAATCTAACACTAAAAGTGTCGTAAAAAAATTATTGTTTCTATTGAGAGCGCATAATTGTAAAAACAACATTCAATTCCATAAACACGATAGAAAGCAAACTGGGAGCTCGTTGATTTTTTTTATATATTATTGTACTTATATATACTAACAGAAAACCGTTTGAATTAGACAGGATCAAGCCGTAGTTTGTTTGTAAAAAAAATTATTATTGCCTCCTGGCGCGTTCTTATACTAACATTCAAACGTATGAAAATACGAGAAAGCAAACTCAGATCAAGTTGATATATTTACTATATATTCTTTTAATATCAAGCAACTCAAAAATATTTGAATCTCGTAGTATCAAGGCATAGAATAGTTGTAAAATTTTTTATAATATTTTCATACTAGCCCATACTAGTTTCTATAAAAAAATTAAAGTCTATAAAAGCGATAGAAAGCAAACTGGGAGCTCGTTGATTTTTTAATATAATATTGAACTCATATATACTAACAGAAAACCGTTTGAATTAGACAGGATCAAGCCGTAGTTTGTTTGTAAAAAAAATTTAATGTAGGCAACCTGGCGCGTTCTCATACTTCTACATATACCTTCTACATAATATATCTTTTAAATATCCATAAAGCTATTAATATATGGAATAATTAATACCTTTATGGATATTTAAAATTGGTATTATATAGGCTTGGTTCATATACTCAATGAAGCAATTATATGTTTTTTATTAATATACCTTGACTGCAGTCCGCACTTTCACCTTTGTAAATAATTTTACACTTTCAAGCATTCAAGATTCACACTTTCATCAGTTATTTATCATTCGTTTTTGTTTTTACAATTGAAATCCCGAAAATAAAAATAAATTAATGGTATAATGGTTTAGATAACTAATTCAATCTCCTTGGTAAAACATTTCATATAAAAAATTGATAAACTTACGAATAGCCCATACCTCCCTCTCATAAATCGAAATTTATTTATTTTTATTTTATTTTGGTATAAAATTTTAAATTTTGGTATACATATGGATATCGACGCGCTGATAGCGCAAATTTTGTTTTGAAGGTCAAATCTAAGAAAATTCGATTTTTTCGCGTTTTTTGCAATAAGTATTGATTTTAGAAAAAAAAGTTTTTTGCTAAAGTACTAGTCTATAAAAAGATTGACATTTTTGTTCATTAAGTTTATCGCGTACCAGTAGTTTGGGATATATTCATATATTCCATAAACGTTTATGGAACATATATAAAATCCCTGGGGAGTACATAGTTTTGACACTCATGCGCGCACGTCCATTGAAACCTAAAAAGGTTACAACTCTATGTTGGAACCAGTTAAGAAACCTAGAGCAGCGCGGTGACATTTTTGTTTCGGATTTGTCCGCAAGATCGGTCCGCTAAAACACATTTAATAAGGGTGGTTAGGTTAGGTTAGTTCCGTCTACAACAGCTAAATGGCTTACAAAACTTGCCACCCCCAGATTTTTGTTTTTCTAATTTTTGACTTTTTATTTTCACATATCGTTTGTTCTTCATTTGTTTTTGATTATTCGCCATAAATAATTTGTGCTTTTTTACATATTAATAAAATTACAGAGTTATCAAGCAAACGACAGCCATTCAAAAACTAGACAGCCTACAAAGAACCGCCTGTCTATGACCACAGGAGCCATGTCTACGTGCCCTGGTCAGGCACTAAATGCATTACTCGGGTTGCCACCTTTAGACCTATTCATACAAAAGGAGGCACAAGCCAGTATGCACAGAGCTAAAATCCAAGGCAGAACTCATTGGCTCTCACGAAAAATGAGGACTCAACAGGACTCATTGCAAGAAATGCCGCTACTTGGTATGACGACTGATGCCATGTTAATTCGGCACTTATTTGAAAAGTATTATACAATTGAATTTCCGTCAAGGGAAGACTGGACTAAAAGCCAGATAACCCATAAAAACGGATCTCTAATCTGGTTTACAGATGGCTCAAAAATAGAAGCAAAGGTTGGCTGTGGGATACATGGAGAGCGACCGAGGTTCAGCAAAAGCATACACCTCGGACAATTTGCCTCTATTTTCCAAGAAGTCTATGCTATTCTAGAATGTGTAGAAGCTAATCTGTCTAAGCACTACACAAATCAAACTATCTATATATATTCAGATAGCCAAGCTGCACTACTAGAGTTGGTAACACAGTCTCATCAAAGCTAGTGGAGCAGTGTATGGACCGACTAAACCTCTTAACAAAAAGCAATAAAGTAGTGTTAAGATGGGTACCGGGTCATGCAGGGGTAATTGGCAACGAGTGTGCCGATAAGCTCGCTAGAGGGGGAGCTCTTGGCATGCAGCAGGGCCCCGAGCCCTTCTGTGGAATACCTAAGAGCCTAGCTCAAAGAACCCTAATGATAGCATGTCTCAAGACTGCGAACAAGGCTTGGACTGAATCAAATGGAATGAGTCACTCCAAGGCATTAATTAGAGCCTACGACAAAAGGTTTAACAATCTTATGCTAGGGCTAAACAGAAAAACCTTACGAATACTGGTAAGGGCTTATACTGGACACTGCTGCTTAAATAAGCACATGTTCAACCTGGGGCTGAGCGAAACGCGAACCTGCAGAATTTGCAGGGAGGCAGACAAAACGCCACTTCATCTTCTGTGGGAATGTGGACCGCTCATGCACAAACGCAGTATTCATCTAGGAAAACAATTTCCAAGCCTAGATGAAATAAAAGAGTGTAACCCTAAGAAAATCCTGCAGTTCTTAACATCAGCAGGGTTTAGTGGTTCACTCTAGTACAAAATAGCGGCGATCACAATAGACCAGAAATGGTCGCAGTGACACGAAATAGCCGCAAAATAGAAATTAAAAAAAAATGATAATTACAGAATTCCATACCAACTTTCATTTCCCACTTTACCCGCTTATGGGATGAATTTCGAAAAAAAATCATATAAATATAAATCCTTATTTTTTATCTTAAAGCTAAGCACCACTTTCTGTGTATTTCACAATAAGAATGACAGAGATTCATACAATCTTTAATCCCCTATTTTACCCACTTAAGGGATGAATTTTGAAAAATTCTTTCTTATCAGATGCCTAAATCTTAGAAGGAATACTTCCTCCAAATTTCACGTTACTACGACCAGCGGTTTAGGCTGTGCGTTGATCCATCAGTCAGCCAGAACCACCACAACATGCACCTCCCCTTCTCAATTCTTCCTTCAGCTGGTCTAACTTTCAGGTACAATACATTCACAGGTATAATGCGAACACAATAAAAGCAAAAAACTAGCTACAAAACAGGTATCAATAAATTGCTTAACCTCAGACTGAATGTAAATACGATACGATACGATACGTGTGGCGCCCTCCTTTCGAGAAATCTTCCCCATTGGAAAACGCCCTGTATCTTCTATTATGTTACACGTATTACTTTATTTACTGGCAATACTGTATTTGTAGAATGTAGATTGTAGACGTCTGATTCTGATGACAAGATCGTTATTGCCAAAGTACATAATTTGTAATTGAGAATGAAATGAGAATTAAATACTATTTCGATTCATCTTCTTAATTAATTTTTCGTTTAATAATTTCCTCATCATTCTATAAAGATTCATGGTTTACTAAACAAGTGATTAAAAACATACGAAAATGATGGATGGAAATGATATAGCCTCTGAACCTAGTAGAAAAGGCTTTATATCACAAGGATGGACCAGAATATCTCAAGTAATGTATATAATTTTGTCTTTATGTATAAATCTTTTATTTTTTGCTTAAGATTATTTGAGGGGTTGACGTTTTTGAGTATCAGGGTTACTTAAACTAAAAGTTTCATAACTTCGAAATTTATTTGAAATACTTTATATATTTTGTTTATTTAATTAGTAAAGTCAATGTTATAACTTATGAAATATTTTGAATATATTGATTGTACTAATACATTTAAAAGGAAACATTTTATGATAAGCATGACATGACCCAATAATTACATATTTTAACTTTGTTAAGATTTGCATGTATTTTTTTATTTAATTCCGCAGATATATCAAGGTCTTTTAGATAAATGGACACCACATACAAAAAGCAGATGGGTTGCTTCTGCACTACTATTAGCCACATTTGTTCTTCGAATATTTTTAAAACAAGTAAGTGATATTTAAAAAAAAATACTAAAATTAAGATAGGTACCTAAATATTAATTGAAGTGCACTGTATACATTGAGTAATCTAAAACATGGCAAAATTACAATATTTTTATTTTGTTAAAGAAATCTTGTAAAATAGAGAAAAAAGAATTACAAAAGGAGTTCTATAATATTACTAAAGGTATTTGTAATTATGTAGAGAAAATTAAACTGTTTAATTAAATATTTAAAGATACACTAAACAACAAAACATAAATAAAATACATTTCCTAAATCTTATAAGAATATTTTAAATACTTTTATAAGTACTAAAATAAATCATATTTTATTCCACACAAATATTATTTTTCATCTAATAATCTATTGACTAATTATTTAATAAAATTATTTAAAATCTGAATCTCATTAAATTTTGTTGAATAGATGTACTATTCAACAAAAATGAATGAGATTCAGATTTTTTTATGTATGATATATATGAATATTAATTATTCATAATTAAAATGCTAATATTTACATCATATAATTTACAATACTGTAATTAGTTATGTCATTTTATTACTCAGTTATTCAATGGAAAAAATATTTTAAAATAGACCTCTAATAATGTTAAATGTTTTATATTTTCAGGGATGGTATATAGTCACATATGCCTTAGGTATTTACCACTTAAACCTTTTTATTGCATTCCTAACACCAAAAATTGACCCCGCAATGGATTTTGACGGTAAATAATCTCATTGTTTATTAGAACCAATATTCTTAAAATTAAGACAATTGTTTATTCACTTGTAAAATCTGTGTTATATTCAGTTCTTTTCAAACTTTCATACTGAGTGGTGCTGTAAAGTAACTTAATTCTAAAAGATATGTAGAGGTACAATGTAATGATAACCTTTGTAAGCAATTCATTGGTAGCCCCATTTTTAGAAGATAACTTTTACCTATATACAAAATATTATTGTAATGAAGTATGTAATTTCAAATATATGTTTGTATAAAATGTTTTTTTTTTAAATATGCAATCTATATTTTAGGAGACGATGATAATGGTCCAGCACTCCCAACAAGATCTACAGAGGAATTCCGACCATTTATTCGAAGATTGCCTGAATTTAAGTTTTGGCTCTCGGTTACTAAGAGCACAATAATAGCCTTTTTCTGCACCTTTATAGATGCTTTCAATATCCCAGTATTCTGGCCTATACTAGTAATGTACTTTATCACACTGTTTTGTATCACCATGAAGAGACAAATAAAGGTATGGGAAATGTTTATTACATATAATCATATTATTTTGTATATTATATTTATGCAATTAAAACTTTTATGACTGAAACTGCTGTTATGGGTTCAATCTTCTCCTGGTCTATAAAAGAGATTGTTTTAAAGAGGAAAGATAAAAGGAACTTCGTTAAAAGACAATTGTGTAAGTGTGTGTGTGTATGTAAGTGCGTGCGTCTAAGAGTATAAGAGTGACAGGAATAGAGAGTGCATATTGTGTCTGCGCGTGCACTTGTGCACTATAACATCTGCGCAGTTGGCTCGTCTCAATGAGATTGGCCGCCGTGACCGAAATCGTTCAGGAGAACATCACATTTAGTCGTCTGACCTAATATTATAACTTTGTCTGCCCCAATTATGTGGCAATCTAGCCCTGTGATACCATCCTTGGCTCTTTCTGAAATATTAAAAACAGTTTATATTTGTTCATATTACATATACGTGAATAACAATTAATGTGTGAGAGAATTTATCAGTTGATTGAATAAAAATGGCCTACGGCTGAAATATTCGGTAATCGATGGGCCTATTAAAAAACCTACAAACTTGGTACAGCACGATTCATTATAACTTTAACTATTTACATGTAAGCTTTGTCGTGATGTAAGTGAAAGTTTGTATTATTAGGAATTTAAAGCAAACTGAACCTTCGATTAAAAATACTACTAGATATCGCGTCGATGTAAGAAATCTTTCTCGGTAAATATAAGCTCACTTGCAAAGTGAGCGTATATTTCAATTAGTTCTATTGAAACACTGCCAACGTAAACACGTTCACATTGCCGCAATTTGTATTTAAAAGTTGCAAAAATAATGCGCAAAAAAGAAATTTTTCGGACAGAATGTCTTGTTTTCGGTAAGTAGGTACATGTAGATTAAGTCAATATTTTAAAATTTTACCTACGAAATAATATAAAAATGAAAATTTAAGCAATTTTAAATCCGCTAAGAACGTTGGCCCAGGTTGGCCAATACATACGCAAATTCAAAGAAGCAAACAGAAACAAAACATAACGATTTAGATCACAAAGCAACAACGAGAAAAAGCCCTTTATGTTTTTTTAAATATATGGTTTATTTTACAATAAATATTACATAACTTACGAAATGATCGTAAGTTTAAGATGATAATTTGAAGATTTGTGACTTTATGACAATGTGCTATGGTGTTGATTAGATTGAAAATAAAACTATTATAAGACTTTGTCATGGTTCGTTAGTATACAAACGTTAGCTGTATAAGTACATATTCGCGCGGAAAGAATTTAGCTTTGATTTTGTATGTGACACGTTATCTAGTAGTATTGTTGATCAAAGAAGTGAACTGTTGAACATGGCATGTCGTTTATGGATTTTTACATAAGTTAAAATTTTTCCCACAAGTAACACATTTTAATTATAAATCCTTAATTATATTGAATAAGAATAATGTCTTTGTGACGTGTAAAGGTCGATTTATATCTACAGACATTGAGTGTGGCAGACACGTGCCGTGGCAGACAAAATGATATTCTTCCATACAGTAACTATTAACGTATTTATATCTATCTTAACACGGCCGTACAGACGCTTAAGCCTAGTTCGCATTAAGCTAGTATTTTAGTCTAGTAGCGAGTAATTTAGTTACCTAAATTACTCGCTACTCACCAAAAATCGTTCGCACTTTGGTCGAGTACAGTTTACAAGTGAGTGGTGTTTTGCAAGATGAACAGCCTACAACGCAATAAAGTAAATAAACTGATTAAGCTGATCGTAACGTACGTACGTAAATAAAATAATACGATCGTAACGTACGTAAAAAAAATATATTTTTCCAAATCTAAGTATGCGGAATGTTTCATATGCTTGTTTTTATAATGCAAGGACCTAATATTCCACAAGCATTCGTGTTCAACATATTTCGAAACAAATTTAAAAGTCATTTCTTCGCTCCAACGAAACGACATTATGGCGGCAACTAATGAACTCGACTAAATCGACAGGTTCGTACTTGCTTAGCCGGTGAACCAGTGAGCTCGGACGCGTGGTGGGGGCTGCTACTCGCCCAAAAAATAGAATAAAATGGATTGACTCGACTAAATTACTTACTAAACTAATCGACTAATTTTTTAGTGTTCATACACGTTTAGTTACTAAATTACTCGCTACTAGACTAAAATACTAGCTTAATGCGAACTAGCCTTTACAGACACGTGTCGTGCCCGGCCAGTATTCTCGGAAAGAATATTTTGTCTGCGCGGTTCATGTCTGTACGTGTCTGTGGCTCCTTGCCGGGCAGTGTGAATAGAGTACGGAACTGCGTACACGTGCTTTCTTTTTTATTTTGCATTTTTACAATGGATAACGAAAAGCTCATAGAATTTGTACGAGATTACAAATACCTTTATGATTTAAGTGATAAAAGGTATAGTGACAATCAGAAAAAGGATCAGGCGTGGAACGAAATAGGAATAAAACTTAATAGTAATGGTGAGTACATATTTTATTATTAAATTATTATTAATTATTAAAAGGAAATAGTGTATTTTACACTGATATTTGTAAAAAGTGTATTTGTAAAATGATTATTACTAAAATGATCAATCGGCGAAACCATTATTTTACCAAACGTTGTTTGTCAAGTGTCATTTTGTCAAATTACTTTTGGTCAAACGACAGGACACCGATATAATCACCTAGTAGTTTAACGCTCCTTCGGGTGAATCGAAAAACCTAGCAAAATTCTCTCTGACATTAAATGCGGCTACCTGATGATTTCCACCCTGTCTAGGTAGGTTTGACAAAGAATATGATGCAATAATGTCTTCTTCATTATGTGAATGCTGAGAACCACCAGATTTTATATAATTATGTAAGATACACGTCGCCATAATAACATTGTCTGCATTATCTGGATCAAGTTGTATTCTCCTGTTATAGATACGAAATTTTTGAGACAAAATCCCAAATGCATTTTCGACAACTTTTCTTGCACGAGATAGTCTATCGTTGAATATATTTTTTCTTTGGTCACCTAGTTGAGGTTTAGGATATGGTCTCATTAGATAAGTTGTCAAAGGGAATGCTTCATCTCCTATGATAACATATGGCGCTGTAATTTCAGTGCCAGGTAAATTTGTGCTCTCTGGAACGTTAAATGTGTTTGAAATTAATGCTTTTCCGATGTTTGAATTTGAAAAAATACGTCCGTCACTGTTTTTTTCATAAGCGCCGACATCGACACATATAAACTTGTAGTCAGCGTCCACAATTGCTATCAACACGATTGAAAAAGTTTTTTTATAGTTAAAGAACTGAGATCCAGAGTTTGCCGGAGCAGTTATTTGAACGTGCTTGCCATCAATGGCTCCTATACAATTTGGAAAATTCCAAGTATTCCAAAACTCCTCTGCGATTTTTTGCCACTGTTCTTTTGTAGGGACAGGCATTGTTTCACTCATCAGCCGTTCTATTATTGCACTGCAAACCTGTTTCACTATCTTGTGTACAGTGCTTACTCCTAGTCTATAACTAAATGCTATAGAAACGAAGGAGTCCCCAGTAGCCAAAAATCTGCAAACAAAAACATTATGATATTATGATTATGATATTTGTTTTCCTTGTTTCAGGAAATGAATGTAAAAAAGCATGGGCTCTGTTGCGAGATGCCTTCAGACGTTCTCATAAATAGAAAAAAGATACGAAAAGTGGACAGGCTAGTGTTCGTGAAAAAAAAATGGAGGTACGAAGAAGAAATGTCTTTTTTGTTACCGTACATGAAAGAAAGACCGACTAAATGTCCAATTCCACCTGTACCCGGTTTTAATGATTATGCACACGAGGAAAAGGTTGCTCAGTCACCTGAGGTTGAGCGACAAACGACTGACACATTTACACCTGAGGTTAGTCCACAAACAGTTGGTACATTGCCAAACTCCAAACTCCAAAGCACCCTCAGCCAAAGGGTAAACGAGGCCGAAAAGCAACTGATGAAACACCTAGTACTGTACTAATGAAGTATATAATAGAGAGTAAAAATAATACTCCACCGCCGGACGACATCGAACAAGTTATGGCTGGAGTTGTAACTACATTGCGATCTTTTCCGCCCAGAGAGAGGGCTATTGCAAAAGCAAAGATATTTAAAATAGTATCTGACATGGAAATAGACATACTGAGCAGGCCATCAACGAGTTCTACGGTATCCACGCCATCAACATTTGACACTTATGAAGACAATACTCCTATGCCAGAAACAATACAAGATTTTTACCAAGGTTTTCAGCCAGACCTTACTGACGAAAGGGTGTATCGGCACTTAGAATAGTATTCCACTTTGTTTACACAATAATAAATAATTCTGTAATAAATCTTACCTGAGACATACTGCTAGTTTTTCTTTTGGTGACAAGGCTTCCTTAAAAACTGTATCTTGTTTGGTTATCAGCAATTCCATTTTGTTTAGTAAAATGTCAAACTGGTACCGGCTCATACGAAAATATATGAAAAAAATTTTTTCATCGTCAACAAGTTCTTTAAAGAGTGTCCAGTATTCTCCTTCTAATTTTCTTTTCTTAAGCATAGGATGTACAGCCATGCGTTTTGCCCTTTTTTTAGTTTTATCTTCTTCTTCTAACAATAATGCAATTATGGACAAATCTTCAATAGAGAAGTGTTTGAACATTTTCAATAACATGCTTTTTTTTCTTAAGCTATGCAGTAACTGCCAGTGAGAGCGGACGCCGATGACGGTGTCTGTCGGTATCCGGGGTGTCTGTCACGGCACGTTTCTATACGTTACATATAAATAAATGGTGTCTGTCGGTGTCTGTCACGGCACGTGTCTGCCACACTCAATATCTGTAGATATAAATCGACCTTAATAGATGTAAAGTATCATGGCAGGTGTCTACACCACCTGTGGAATTGAAGGTTGCCTTCTTGATTCTTGTCTGGTTTCTATTGAAATTTTTGTTTTATAGCCGCATCTCTATATTATCGAAACATTTATTCCCATTTTTTACATACTTTACAGTTAATATTATATTAGTAGTTAGAAAATAATATTTTCTTTTCTTCAAAATACTTGCACAGCGCCATCTATTGACGAGTCAGAACTAAAGTTTGACACAGGGCTCGCAACCGGTTTAAAAAAAAAACTATTAATTTCAATAATGTAATGGTAAATTCATCCCTCATTTATTAACCGGTTAATAAAAATGAACGGCTTAGTAAAGAAATCAAGAATGGGAAAATCTTTACTCTTACAAAAATATCTAGCTTTTTTTCTGACTATCGTCCTATATCTTTCTTCCTTTCCTGACAGTAAAAAGTACTTTTACGACCGGAAATTAAATGCTTTCTTTTACAAGCACAATCTTAGTAATGCTTTTAATACGAATGCATTCGGTTCGAAGATTTTTACTCCGATTGTTGCACAGTGACTGCCGGTGTTCCACAAGGTGGCGTGTTGTCTACTCCTGTTTTCAGTTTTTATTGATACTATTTGTCTTCAAATTTCTTCTCGCTACCACCTGTATGCTGACGATTTGCAAATTTATGGCGTGACATCTGAGGTTGATTTACCACGAGCAATCTATACTAATATTATAAAGAGGAAAGTTTTTTTTGTATGTTTGTACCGAATAAGCTCCAGAACTACTGAACTGATTTAGATGAAATTTGGTAAGAAGGTAGTTTGAGATCCTAGGAAGGACATAGGGTATTAATTGTTGGCAGTCAAAGGATGTTGTCAAGATCTAAGACTTTGATAATACCAGCCATATTGTTAGATGGTGTTCAGACTTCTTTTCATGAAAAAGTTAAAAATCTCGACATCAAAGAGTAGCACTTGAATCAACTTGAGCAATTCCAACGTCTTTGTATACGGTTTATTTGGCCTTAGAAAATATGACCATGTTTCTTAATTTCGTAATAAACTCAAGTGGCATCCGATTCCGCAGGAACACTCATATTCTTCATCTTCTTTACTGCATGCTGTTTAATCCTTCGGCTCCTGTCTATTTGAAATAGTGTTTTGGGTTTCTGAGTGATTCCCATGTTCGTTCACTTCACTCTGTTCAGTACTACCTTCTTAAAATTCTAACTCACTGTTCGTGTTTCTTTACAAATTCTTTTACAGTAAAAGCTGCTTGAATGTAGAATTCTATTCCTTTAAGGATTAGATATGCTAAAAGCTTACATAAATTTAAAAGCTCATTAAAAGATTAATATCTTTTAAGCCTTACTACTCCTTAGTCCTTTCCTCTTTCTCTCTTTAGTCCTTTCTTCTAATATCATCCTTGTTATTATTATTATTTCCTCTATTATGTTCTAATATCTAATTCTTTATATTTATTGGTTGATTATTTCTTCTTTATGTGTGTGTAATTGCATGTATGTATGTATTTATGGATTTATATATGTATCTATTTAAATATAAGTGTATATGTAAAAGTATCAAAGCAAGTACACCAATTACTGTATTTATGAAAACTTACTCCACCACCTTAAGGTTGCATGAAAGAGATCGCTTCCAGCGATAAAGCCGCCTGTTGTACATCTTTTCTTTGTGTTTTTTTTTGTATGCCATAAAGAATATTAAATAATAGCTGTTAACGGTTATTCTCAGAGTAAGGTTAGACTTAGGATTTGACGAGATAAACCGGTAAATCTATAGATATAATAAAACTGTAGATGTCGAATGTATGTACATAGAAAAAAAATGCTAAAAACCGAGTCAGGGGGGTGTACGAAGAGAAATAAAACAAATCCAAATTATTTGTGTCTCTGTCTTTTTGTCTGTTTATACGGGCCAATCTCCGAGACCATTTTACTGATTTAAATGAAATTTTGCATGGTGGTACCTTATATCCCCGGTCAACATCTTAGATACTATTCATTCCGGAAAATTAAAAAAATCCATGGGATAGTTAAAAAACTCTATTAACTTATACAGCTTAGTACACAAAAACTACTGATTGGATTTTAATGAAACTTTACAATAATATAATTCATACATCAGAATAACAGATAGGTTACTTCTTATCCCGGAAAAATGTACGGTTCCCATGATGCGGGTGAGTCGCTAGTTCCTTAATAAGTAAGAAACGTACATGTACTACTAAGCATTCCACCATTAGCAGAGATTCGCTAAATGTAAACGCACAAAAACTCATTTTAACCGGTTAATTTCTATCATAGAACCTAAATTCATCGAAGACCGTTTTTAACCGGATAACAGAAAGAAACCTTTCATCCGATTTTGGGGTCAATGGCCAAAACCGGTTTAAAAATTGAACAGGTTTCCGAGCCCCTGGTTGGTTATTTTAGCCTATCTTCGTGCTGAGTTCCGTCCATCCATTACGACTTAGCGTGATTGCTTTATAAACATCTTCCCAAATTTTTTACCTACATTTATTATAAATAATACACAATATAATATATTGAAATAAACAGGCCATATTTTATATATTTATACTTACAGAAAGTAGTAGTTTAGTCATTTTCTTTTGACTAGGCATAATGATTTAATTTTTGACAAAATGATTACTTATTACTTTTAACGGTTCGGAAAGAAGAAAAAATAGTCCAAGTAACTTTTAATAGATGGTGTAAAATACATAATATCAATTAACACCTTACACACCAGGTAAATTTCTAAGGAATTAATTAAAATTCTAACAAATCTATTGTTAACTGACACGCCGGCGTGTTCGCGGTCGTGGAGGGATTAATGATAATATTTGACATTTATGTCTGAAAAAAAGGCCCTAAGCTCCTTAGCTAAGGAATATAAAGTTTTTTTTTAAATAAAAGTTTTATAAACGAATGATTGAAAGCTCAGCAGTTATGCAGTAATTAATTGTATTGCATAATCAAATCACACGCACTCTGAACACACTGCTTGATTTTTTGTTTTTCCCTGTTCCATACGGTCACGATGATGGCTATTTGCATTTTGCTATATTACACACGTTCTAGTGTATTTTTATTAAATCACTAACTCCATTCGACAGTTCATATCATCATATTGAAATGAAAACCTGAAAATTAGGTTGTCCAGTTTTTTTGTATGATATAGGCTTTTTGTATTTGTACTCTTATAACATTGTTACCTATATGTTTCTTTTTGTTACAGCATATGATTAAATACAGATATTTGCCGTTCACTCACAGCAAACCCAAGTACCGAACTGTGGATCCAGCTGTATCTATGAACTGACGGTGACTGTCCATCTTACTTATTCAATAAAGTGTGAAAAGTCAAATTAGTTGAAAAAACTGTTGTATGCAAATGTTTTTAGAAATACAAAATTTATTATAACGTTTTCGATTTTTAATTTATTGTGTTATGTATTATATTTAAGACTTTATATTGGCTCAGATTCATTTATTTTGTATTACACTTGATGGACAGGTTATAATAGTATTTATTGTGTATATTATTTAATAAAATAAAATTCGAATAAGCTTAGAGCAACAATAGGTAAATAGCAGTAAATACTTAGTAAAATGAAATAAGTATTCGAAATAAGACTAAGTAACAATCTTTAATAAATGTTTTAATAACTATTTATTATAAATACAACTCTATGAAATGTATCTATGCAATAATTGTATAATGACTCCAAACATATTAACTGAACTATTGCATTCAGATAAATACTTAAAGTTAAAAAGGTTTTTCCAGTTATAATTATTGAATGATTATATAATAGGACACCAAAGATAAAATATTAAAGTTATGCATTGTAATTTGTTTCCGGTTGCGCGATAACGTTCAAAACGAAATATGTATATACGTATACTTATCGTATAAAGCTGTTACCGTGGCATTAAATCGATAAAGTTTTATCAAAAATAATTGTTGTTTGAATACACATTGTAAATGACACTTGCTGAATGAATTCCAAAATTAAATGTTACTTATGTAGATAATATAATGTTTTTTTTTTTACTTTTCAATACTATATATACTAAACGAAAATATTTTCTGTTTTTCTTTTATAAGACTATTGATTAAAGACTTGATTCAGTTCAGTAAATAGTTGATTTTGTCCTTAAAAATGAGGAAAATGAATGTTAATAAATCTAAATGGTAATCAAACCGTAAATTCTTGTAACAAAAAATCTGTAAATCTATGAATGCGTAAGTTCCTTATTTATGTTAACGAATAGGAACTGTAAATGAAAACGTTATATAATTATATATAATATAATAAAATTTTGCAAGATTATGGTGTAATTATTATTAATTATTTGAGTATGTTTATGTTATGAACTAAAAAATAAATTTGAAAAAAATCTATATATATATAATAAAATTGTAACCAAGTCGAAACTGTACGTTAAATATTTTTTTGAAAATCTTATTGAAACAGACATTATTATCGATACAGACTCCGAATCTATAGTTTTTACAATTTTTGTCTGTCTGTTACCGCATCACAAGAAAACCACTGGACAGATTTTGATGAAATTTGGTATGATGATAGCTGGTTATCCGGGTCAACATATAGGATACTTTTTACCGCAGAAAAATATCTCATTTCTGAGGTTATAGGTTTCTTGTGTGTATATGTGTGATATGTCTGTCTGTAGTATGGCTTCGTATTGCTCAAATGCGTGCATCCGAGTGCGGTTTGTTTTAATCGAAAGCTTTGACTGTTAAGATCAAAGTTAGCTATGTTTAAGGAACGTTGGACCAGGCATTGACTAGTAATACAAGCTTGAAAAAATAGCAAGTAATAAACCCTAAGTTTTCAGAGCTTAAACTCGCTTGAATACAATGATACATGATTACACTTCAAATTTCGCCAAGTAACTGACATAAATTAGTATGAAGCATCACACTCAGAGCGACATGCATGTACATTAATTTACCCATCTTTCTAAGTAATAGAGTGTCCACTATGAAACTTTTAGTGTTTTTTAACAATACTATAGGGTATATTCGGGTGTAAAAACAAATAAAAAAATATGGTCGAAGTGATCAAAAAATTGTTTTGAAATTTTCAGATCCGGTTTTGTACGTATTTTTTTTTAAATTCAAAAAATTATTTCTTTATTAAAAAGAGCAACTAAAAACCTATACAAAACGCCAAGTTTAATAGTTGTTTGTATTTTTTCCCCTTTCGAAAAACTAAATCTAAAACATCGACATTTGGATTATGATTATTTTTCAAAGGCCCATAATTTTAAAAATAAACATCGTAGAAAAAAAATATTACGTATCCACTTTCATACCTACTAGAGGTATAAATAACCCGCATATGACCAATTTTCCTAACCTCACTTTTTTTTTCCTGTCCGCTTCTTATGAAATGCCCCTATACTTATATGTAAAACCTAAAAATTTGGTTTTTGGTCATCTGAACGCTGGCGGAGCCACGGGCAATGCTAGTCGGTAATATTATCATCGAACGCATCTAAGGCGACAAGTTTGCAAGAGGGCTTTTTAAACTTATAACTATTAATCGAAGTCAACGAAATAAATATGTTATTCATAAGCCACATAAATTATTATTAGTCATGAATTTAGTGAATTAATTATTCATCCCACGTTGGAAAATTCCAATTTTTTACTTTTAAAAATCTACTTCTTATAATTAACTATTTTAACTTTGTAAAATATTAACTAATTTATAACATTTTAAATTTTGTATCAATTTAAAACAAAAAATTGTATAGTGAAGTGTCCTTTCGTTCGTCTTTAACTCTAAAGAGTCTATCAAAAAAAAGGAAAAGCTCAAGTCTTGCTTGGTCAAAAACCAAGGTGGATTCCACCCCCTCGCATGATAAAATTTCATTGAAGCCATGGCGCCTTTACTGAAGGATATGTCTGTGAGAGCCACACCAGATTTAGGATAAGTTCTTTATATCTCTTTCTAACATAGAAATAAAATGCTAAAAACCGAGTCATGGGGATGTAAGAAGAGAACATTTTTTTTTTTAATTTTTTGTTTCTTTATCTGTGTGTATTGGGCTAATTTTCGGAACTGTTGAACCGATTTAAATGAAATTTCGCATGGTGGTACCTTATACCCCGGTCAACATTTTAGATACTTTTGATCCCGAAAAATTAAAGAGTTCATACCACCATACCATACCAAATTTCATCAAAAGAGCCCTCCAGTGGTTTTTCTGTGATGCGGTAACAGATAGACAGACAAAAATTCTAAAAACTATAGATTCGGACTCTGTATCGATAATAATGTCTATTTCAATAAGATTTTCCAAAAAATATTTAATGTACAGATTCGACTTAGTTACAGTTTTATTATATGTATAGATAATTGGTTTTTTTGTATTATTAATTATTCGATACAATACCTTGTGATCTTCAAGATTCTTAACTACAAATTATAATGCATTGTGGTTCACAAGAATACTATAAGATGTTCTAAACATTAGATACCTATACAATGAAAGTATTGTAAATATTGTAACTTGTAATAGTAATGTAGGATCAGCTGTTTCCCACAAAACAGCATAACAAGAAACGTCGTAAACACTAGGTAAATAGAGTTTCACAGTTAAAATAAATAAAAGTCCTAACTGGAAGGCTTACATGGCAGCTACGCTTCCCTACCACTACTAGTCTTCTCGTCTATCAATTACCACGATTTAAGTCAGATCTGTCACTGAGTAAGAAAATAACATTATGATATCAAATAAGGGCCACGACTCGAAATTTCATGTTTTAGTCCTTTTAAGGTAGATATGTCGCGTTGAAGGCGTTTTTTTTTTCATAATGAGTGTTTTCGTCTTTGAGTCAAAAATTTTTAGAGTATACAAAATTATAAAATATATTTAATTAACTATCATGGAATATATACATCACGCCAGTTATAGCTTAATAAATCCCTTGCATTGCCGTTAAGAGGCCTATTACATTAAGACCGTGATTTTTCAAATTAATGCCCATTTTTGGCGTACTTATTCAGAGAAACTGAAACTCTTCGACAATTTTGAGTTATTGTGTGGTGAAGAATAGTTATTAATCTAGTTCATCGCGGCCTCGCTTTTATAAAATTTTCAGTATTAGGTAATTGAAATAAAGACAAAATTCCGAAGAAAGTTTTTAATAAAATGTGCGACGGCACTTTTTCAAGCTCATTGATTGATATACTGTACCTACTCTATGCAAATGAAATGAAAAATACATAATAATATCTCGTTTATAGTGGTTGTGTTTATAGCGGCCTCGGAATTTGAAAATAAGTATCATATATTGGATTTCTACAAAAAAAAAAACTTTTCAAAATCTTAAAAACTATAAAAACGTTTAGAATTAGGTCATAGCTGTAAATATATTATCCTTACAATATGAATATTATTAAGTACAATTTATACCGGATTACGTCAGTTCATAAGAAAAGTACTAATTACATACTTTTAAAAAAAATAATTTATTATAAAACATTGCATATAAGTAGGTAATTACAAATGCAGAAAATGCTAGAAATAGAGATGCGTCGGCCACTCGAACTCAATTCCATAGAACTCAGTACATTTTGTGATAGGCCTCTTAACAGCTGGATGGAACTACGACTCCAAGATCTGGCTAAACGAGGGCTCTTGGTAATTATAGCTATGTTCTAAAAGTACCTTTAAAATCATAAAACAAATCTTAGTAATATAGCTAGATCGTATCTAGTCGATCCCTGATTTACGCACGCATGTACGTAATGAGTTTGCTTAAATTACTAATTAATAAACACGGCATTTCGCCACTTCTATAAGTATAACAACATATACCTATTCATACTAATATTATAAATGTGAAAGTGTGTTTGTTTGTTTTTCCTTCTTTCATGTCAAAACGGAGAGATGGATTGGCGCGATTTTTTGTGTGGAGACAGTTGGAGGGCTGGAGAGTGACATAGGCTACTTTTTACCGCGGGAGATGATCTCCTTCCCACGGAAAAACATGTTATAATACAACCCAAAAATATATTTTTAATCAGAATTATTTGAAACTTGGTATTAATGCTCTTCAATACAATTAAATAAATACGTGTTTTAGCATTTTTGGAGATTGATCTTATAAAGGGGTACAATAGGGGATGAACGTTTATCTGAAATCAACCTTTTTAGTTTTTTTATAGTTTTAGCGCGAGCGAAGCCGCGGGTTCTGCTAGTTATATTATATATATGTAGTTTGTTGTATATTTGTATATATTTCGTAACTTCAATAGTTACGAAATATATACAAATATACAACAAACTATACCGTTACCGGTACCTATATATACCGTTAATTATAACATAATTTGGGTTGTATAATATTCAAGGATAGCCCAAGCTATGAGTACCTGCCTAGTTTCAATTTTTTGAATCTGTTAATTTTTTTATAGTTTCCTTTCAAGTTCAAGTTTCAACGAAAGAGGTTCCTATATATTTATCCTCTATTTCAATATTAAATTTTTTTTGTGAACTCCTTCTGGTTGGACTTTTCAACATCCACTCAGCCCGTCTGTACCACTTGATATTTTTGTTAATGACACAATTTTATAATACATATTTTTCAGTCATTTGCGAACTGCATATCCCTATTATGTTGTTATGTAGTGATTCAGTATGTTATATTGAAAAATAACCAACATAAAACATTTTGTTTCCCTATTACTATCTTAACCCATATTATGGTTCTAATGTGGTAGAATTATAGTTAATATTAATAATATACATTTATACGTGTATTATACATTTATGAGTGAAAACGTTTGTATTACGTATCATAAATCATAATTATTGATACAAACATACAATATACCTACATATTATACGAATTATAACATAATATTAAGAAAATTAAAAAATAGAACAAAGTGCAATGAAACTATTTTATTACATTATTCGGGTAGGTACACTAAATTATATTGTTATTATTAAGGAAATACAAGTACCTATTTATAAGATAATAATTTCAATATTCAATTTTTTTTAATTAAATTTTAATGTGAAATTATGATTAACCGGTCTAAATCATTTATTTGTAACATCTTCCTAAATATACAAATCATAGCTACGCCTTTATCAGCCATGACCTTATGACCTATTTGTCTAAATTTTGTATTCGTTGAATGATTATTCGAATAAACGAATAATCGAGTTAAATGATTATCACACAATTGGTGATAATACTTGTAATGATACAAATAGCAAGTTTTACAATTTTTTGATATCTGATCAGTTAACTTTAGGTAATAATTATTTAATTTCCAATAAAAAATAATTATTATTATTTAGTATAGCAAAATGTATTCATGTAAAATATCCTCTATATCAAGTTACAGTATAACAACATAAAACGGATGATTATATTTAACCGCGACATAGTACAAAGCAATTATTACCCTAGGGTTAAAAATAGTCGCTAACGTTAAAAATAATACCTATCGTTTGGTGACGTGTAATAAAACGCAGAACCACATAGTCGTTTACAATGTTACTATCGGGCCTAAAACTTTTAAGTAACTCGTTTCAAAGTAACAAAATAGTTATTGAATTTTATTAAGAACTATATGTTGGAGTGCTGCTATCTCATTTTAATTTTTAATTGTTTTAATATATAATTCTATTAGTAATAGACTTGTAATTCTTGGATTAGAAATATGTTTTAGTATTTTTATGAAAAGCTTTTCTTATATATTATACTGCAACAAACAGTTCAAGGACCTGAACTAAAATTATGTGAAGTAATTTTTATCCTTTTGAATATGTTTTTTCCTTATAGCAACTTTAAAAGTAATATCTGTTTCATTTTTGAGCTAAAATACTGGCAACTTCTTCTGATATCGCCAGTGTTACTATTTAAATGATATGTTCAAAAGTAATAAAACGCGCTCGATAACCCTGTTTATTTTATTGACCACTCGCCAGATGTTTGCGCATTGTTTTCCAGTGCGCAGTAGTTTCTCTGTCGTGAAATCGGGATTCTGTTTTAGTATTATATCTATTCTGCCATTTTGAAAATAGTGGCGTGTATGGATTAGACCTAGTGTTTTTTATGTGACAAATATGTCCGGGAGCAATGATAAAGTGTCGACTACGCAGCGTATGATCCAAAGTGTCGCTTTCCCTCCTAGCCACAAGCTTACTGTATCTGAAGTATTCGATGAAAAAACTGGAAAACCTCTACCAGATGTACTGAAGCAACACTTTATCTTAGAGGGTCGAATCGAAGAAAATGCAGCTTTACGAATCATCCAAGATGGTGCCACCTTATTACGATCTGAAAAAACTATGATCGAGATTGATTCACCGGTGACCGTCTGCGGAGACGTCCATGGCCAATTTTACGATTTGATGAAATTGTTTGAAGTGGGAGGCTCACCCTCATGCACCAAGTATTTATTCTTAGGTGATTATGTCGACCGAGGTTATTTTAGTATAGAATGTGTTCTCTACCTCTGGGCTTTGAAATTGTGCTATCCGAAGACATTATTTCTATTACGCGGTAATCATGAATGCCGACATTTGACAGAATATTTTACTTTCAAACAAGAATGCAAAATTAAGTATTCTGAAAAAGTGTATGATTCATGTATGGATGCCTTTGACTGCTTACCTCTTGCTGCTCTTATGAATCAGCAGTTCCTATGTGTACATGGAGGTCTTTCTCCCGAGATTACCAGCTTAGATGATATTCGTAAACTAGATAGATTCAAAGAACCACCTGCATTTGGAGCAATGTGTGATCTGCTATGGTCTGATCCTCTTGAAGATTTTGGAAATGAAAAAAATGCAGAACATTTTTCGCACAACTCTGTTAGAGGTTGCTCATACTTTTACAGCTATGCTGCTTGCTGTGACTTTCTACAGAGAAACAATTTATTATCAATCATCCGTGCCCATGAGGCACAAGATGCTGGCTATCGAATGTATCGTAAAAGCCAAACTACTGGGTTCCCAAGTCTTATTACCATTTTCTCTGCCCCAAATTACTTGGATGTCTACAACAATAAGGCTGCTGTTTTAAAATATGAGAATAATGTGATGAACATTCGACAATTTAATTGTTCTCCTCATCCATACTGGCTACCAAACTTTATGGATGTTTTTACCTGGTCACTTCCATTTGTAGGTGAAAAAGTGACAGAGATGTTGGTTAATGTCTTAAATATTTGCTCTGATGATGAGTTAATGTCAGAAGGAGATGATGCATTGGAGGAAGCTAATCTCAGGAAAGAAGTTATTCGTAATAAAATCCGTGCTATTGGAAAAATGGCGCATGTCTTTTCAGTACTACGTGAGGAAAGTGAGTCTGTCTTGCAGCTCAAGGGGCTCACCCCTACTGGTGCTCTACCCTTGGGTGCATTATCCGGTGGCAAAACATCTCTCAAAAATGCTCTACAAGGATTTTCACCCAACCATAAGATCACCTCCTTTGCTGAGGCAAAAGGCTTAGATGCTATCAATGAGAGGATGCCACCACGTAGAGATGGGCAGCGTACTCCAGATGCACAAGACAAAAAGCCTCATGTCAACAGCAATGCACACTCGTGAAGTGTTCGCTTCTATTTCTCTTCGATCCTTACCATTTGGCCCACGATTATAGTGATAGTGAAATATGTGTGAAGGAGACTCAGCTTTTGGAATGATATTTCACGTTCATGATAACAAGGTGGATTTGAAGGGAATTGTCATAGATACTAAATATTTTTAAATTTGGATTTAACTTTTTTTCAATAGTTGAAATTAAAATTTCTCTTAAGATATTACCTCTCGATATTTAAAATAATTATCAGATCTGCAGGCAACAAATTTATTTAGTCAATTAAATATTAAGGTATGCACATTTATTTATAATGCGCTGCACTGTTTAATTTTTGGTAATGTAATTTTAAATTTTTCATATGAAAAGACATGATATTGTAATGTAAATTTATTCAGATTATCTACTTATACTCTACATTGTTATCTACATTAGTGAAAATTAGACATGTCTATAATTTTCAAAGCATAATTAGCTGTGATATTAAACGTCGATCAATGTATTATTTAATAGCGATCTGCTAGTGAAGTACAGGCATGTTCATTGGCTAATCATGCATTGAAATATGTAAAGTATGTGGTGAAGTTCTCAGCTTGGGCGTGTCTTTATATTCTATTAAGTAATAAAATTAATTATGTACTATAGTGTGCAGCACATGGTGTGTTGTTGCCGTACGTGTGTGCTGTGTAAATATGCCTTGTGCGTACACACACGTTATTGCAGCTTTAACACTTGAGATAAATATTACTCTCTTTAATATCTTTGCTACAAGTTGTACTTAATTGTATTTTATTGTACAAAATATATTAAATTACTATCTATAAACTATACTTAAAACTAATTTATATTTGGGTGTATGCTGGCTCCTTGTTGCCTGCATGCAACTAAACTTGTATGCTGGAACATCACATTAATAAATTTTCTTAGTCATAATGTTTCGGTATATAAGATGTAGTGGCTAGTCTAATTGCAGATTTTCTTACAGCTTCTATTCCAACCTTCACTTATATGATTAATAAGGTTTAATGACCTATGCACTGTTGGAAAATCTCTTTTGGTCTGCCAAATAATTATTAATCAATGCAATAAGTTCATATTGTGAATATTAAAGTGGCTTACATCATTTTCAAAGTCAGTTCTAAGTATTTTATCTCAATTCAGTGTGTAGTCCTTCATATGTTCTGTACTTTTAAATAAAATTTACCTATGTAAAAAACTAACAATATATTTAATTTTATTTTGTACTAATCATGGGAAGTGTTGTTTTATCCTTATAAAATATATTAACATTGAGCTCTATTTATTATAGTTTTAATAAGTCATGCCTAGATAATCCTTGAAAAAATATTACTTTAGTATATTTCCTGATTTTAAATGAATTTGTTTAAACAAATTAATGAAACACTAATTAAAAAATATCAAAACTGGTTAAAACGAGATGTTTGAAACTCTGCAAAACTGGCAAATATTTGTTTAGTAAATAGGTACATATATGTATAAAACAAAATTATAGAGAAATTTGTAATGAGAGAGTGACTGACCGTCACGCGTAGTTTTTCTTGTGAAAATAATATACGACCTTTGCGTTTTCATATTTAGGTCAGCTGAAATTTATAACAACATTTAGTATTTTTTAGGGTAGATAAGCAACATACCTATATTAAAATCAGGCCTAAATAGAGCGTGTCGACTGTTTTAGGTAATATTTAGGTATCGGTCAGCATTTTAGCTATTTCTTATTTCTCGATGCCTATATCCAAAGGGTGGGATCGAGCTTTTGTTATTAAAATTAAACTATATTATTTAAAAAATATGTAGATACATATATTAATTATATATTTATCATACTTATAAAATTCACAAAAAACTATCTTCTTAGTCTAACTTAATGTTATTAAAATCAAAAGAAAGTAGGTAAATTGACCAAATTTTAACTAAAACTTGTTTGTTTTATGAGTCAATTATGACTTAAAGCGCGGCTAGGTCACGAATAGATAAAATAAATTTATCGAAATCTATAAATGAAATGTTTTTTAAAAACAATGATTAACGTATTTTGTACATAATATAGACCCCAAAACAATAGTTATTAAAAAAAAATCTATGTCTGTTTAGGTGTTCGCCTTTCACGCAAAAGTACGGAACCGATTTTAACTAAATTTTGTGTAGGGATAACTTACTAATCGGGTTTAAATTTGGGATACCTTTTACTACAGGAAAATCTTTCATTTCCACGGGAAAAAACGATAACTAGTTCTATGAAATCCTCACTAGAAATTTATATGGCTAACACTGGCTAAACCTAAAGATATACATAAAACAATGTACCTACTAGAAAATATGTAGGCCTATAGAAGTCCGCAATAACATATTATATCTATCGCCTAATTAGGTACATTCACAATAACTATTTTTATCTAAGTATATTTTATATTGTAAAGAGACAAAAATTGTATTTTTGCTTGTATAATGGATAACATAAAAATCCGCTGAACCGATTTAGATGAATTTTGCTTTGAAGATAGTTTTAAATCCCAGCAAGGACATAGAGTTTACGGAGTAAAACTTACTCCGTAAATCATCCCTTAAGTGGTTAAAAAGGGGGATGGAAGTTTGTATGGGAAATCAATCATTTCTCAAGTAAGGGATATAAAACTCATTATACCTGTGTGTATACATATATATTCTTACTAGCAGAACCCGCGGCTTCGCTCGCGCTAAAACTATAAGAAAACTAAAAAGATAGTTTCATACAAACTTTAATCGCATATTTTACCCCCTTATATGATGAATTTCGAATAATGCTAAAATACGTATTTATTTAATTTTATTGAAGAGCATTAATGATAAAAGTTTCAAGTAATTCTGATCATAAATATTTTTTTCGATTGTATTATAACGTGTTTTCCCGTGAGCATTAGGTAATCTCCCGCGGTAAAAAAGTAGCCTATGTCACTCTCCAGCCCTTCAACAGTCTCCACACAAAAAAGAAGGACAAACAAACAAACACACTTTCACATTTATAATATTAGTATGGATATTAATTAGTCTATCTATTCCATACTAACCGTTAAAACGTACCCAGGGACGATCGTACCCAAAGAAACGAGGGTGAGTCGCTAATAAAGAAATATAATACTTATAGAGCACGAAGTTACCTACCTAAAGAATTTTTTGGATAAAGCTTAGCTGAAGTTTAAAACCATAAAGTTTTATAATGATTAATATTATACATATTTAAATTTAGGAAAGCCAAATATAGAAAAACATTTTATTGTGTTAACTTACTCTTTAATAGCCTGACACGTGACCATTATGGGCTTAAAGCTTTCCAGATATGACGTTTTACATAATTAGGCAATAGGTACCCTACTTAATATATCAACCAAGTATTAGGTATATAAACAAACTAGGTGACCCTGAATACCCCTTTTCTCTCAGTTCTGCCCTTTTTTGAATATTAAATATATTATCAATAATTCAGCCCACCTGGCCTACATTTATGTTATTTTTTTCCCTTGGCACTAAACTTAAAAATTATTTATTACTAGCATTGCCCGCGATGCCAGATGACCAAAAAGCAAATTCTTAGGTTTTACATATTAGTATATTGCTCTTACAACGCAGTTTTTGTATTTTTTCTCAGAAATGAGATATTTTCCCGCGGTAAAAAGTATCCTTTATGTTGTTACCCGGATAACCAGCTATCATTATACCAAATTTCATCAAAATCTGTTCAGTGGTTTTCTCGTGATACGGTAACAGACGGATATATCGACAAAAAATCTAAAGTATAGATTAGGACTCTGTATCGATAATAATGTTTATTTCAATTAGATTTCCCAAAAAATATTTAATGTACAGATTCGACTTAGTTACAATTTTATTATATGTATAGATTGTAAGTATAAGTTATTATAATGTCACCCTACAATACTCAATATATAGACGAGCACTTCTCAATTATCCCACTTATCGTACATTGATAAACCAACATTGATTACCAATGTCAAAAAGTCTCAGGCTTTCGTACTCTAATATAAGCCGGGGCCCACGCCCCGGGCGGCAAATTCATACTTGACAGACAAATACACAACTCATCATTAACGCAACTTTGACCACTGCGACGTCCAGTACTTTAAGTACAATAATAATAATTTTTCGAGGAGCCAACTTATTTTATATAAATTCAATTTTTCGCGTGTCTTGTGGGCATAGGTCAACAACCGCGCTGATAGTCCAGCCGAGTTGCAGTCTGCACTGCAGCCTTTTGTTTATTAGCCCTCATTCATCCATGACACCAGGGCGATGTCGCACTTTCGCTGAAAATCGAACCTATACTGAAGCGACAAAAAAAAACATTTTCAATGTTAAAATGTTTTTAACAGTAAGTTAAAAATAAAATAATATCTATTAATTATCAGCAAAGAATGAAAAAGAAATTATTAATTATTAAATAAAAATAGAACTTAACATCAAAGTTACTAAACTCCAGTGAGTCTTAACAGTTTTAAAGTTTGTTTTTGCCTTAATCCTCAGAAGTCATAACCCTTTCTTTTTTCAGTATTATATGTACCGGAAATTAATTGATTTTGATTTCAGATTAATTGATAAACATTAAATTACGTTTATTACTTATAGCTAACATTTTACACGACTGCGGTGAAGCCTATAGCTCCGTATAGGCTACAGGGGGGTTCCAACGTGCGTTCACCTTGTCGTGGTGGGGGGGCTCAGTAGTGTACTCGCGAAGCCAAGAAACGCACAGGGAGGTGGCCCGCTTCGGTGGGCGGTGGGAGGCGGCCTTCTTCGGAGGGTGGTGTACCATGCGGGTTGCTCCTGGTACTTCTCTGATAGCAGAGTGGACCGTGGAGCAACCCCATGGTTGTTGTGGTCTGCTTCGGCAGACCTGCCGTCGGGGCGTCGTAGTTGAATGCGTAAGCGATCCTGCGACGCCCCATTAAGACGGGGGAAGGTTTTGTTGGGTTTTAGTGGGTAGTACTGGCTT